AAAGGGGGTGCAAAAAAATAGGGAGATAAGCTTTGTTGAGCGTAGAATTGATGTTTCTATTCTCATGAGTTTTTCTAGCTAAGTGATGGACAATATATGACTACATGACTAGGCTAACAATACTTGTAGCATGAATAAGAGTCTAACAATCATGTACCTTTATATTATTTTCCAAATTTAGCACAAGTGACTATAATACTCTTAGTAGCACCACTATTGAATCTATCAGAGCTAAATCTAAGCCTTTTTCCAACTGGCTCCCTTTGATTGTTCCACATGCTCTCCTTCATTAATATTCTTTCGCTTCTATGCCTCCTTGCACTTCTGATTGAGCTGATAATAAATTCCACTCGTCTGCCCGGCTCTATCAATATTAAGTAATTATCAATACTCAATGCACCAACAACTGTCTGATCAAATCATTCAATCCAAAAAGAAATTTGTAACTTCTCTTTTGTAGTAACTATTCGTTGTGGGGCATACCTTGGCATTGCAGTGAACTCTGCTTCATATTGCACAATTGACTTCACTCCTTACAACAACTTAATGAATTTTTCTTGCATCTATCTTCAAGAAGGTAGGAGTGCAAACCATTCTCTAAAATTCTCCATTAAATTATCCTGTTGGGTACATCCCCAAGTCAATCCTATTATTGCTCATGTCATCGCCTTTCTACTTCTCCTTCCAACACAAATATAGCTTGTACTCTTCATTTTCAGGGCATGTTATTTTATCTAATATCTTGTCTAAACACATCAACTAATTCTCCACTTTAATTAAGATATTCAGTTTCTTTAAATAAAGATAGATGTAGATCTTGAAATATCATTAAGTGTTTATCCACAATAATAATCTCAACCACACGAAACTATGGTATGGACTTCTTAATCAGTTGACTCATGGTTGACATCATTTGGGTTAGGACATTCATATCATATTTATAAGAAGTGGTAGTTTATCATTTTTAGTTAGACTTTCCTCTTTGATGATCTAAAGTATATCTATTTTCTTGAATTAAAATAATGACTAAATTAGTGTCAGCTTAAAATTTTTAATTTAATTATTATAAAATTATCTTATAATTATCATCTTCGCTTTTTCATCAATATTACCTTAAATAATCCAAAAACATTCTTTGATACCAATTTTGTTATGACTCGGCCCACGCCTTAGAATTAACCAAGAGGGGAACAAATGGTCAGACACCATAAATCAAACTTTCTATTTTTTCTATCACTATTAATGATTGAAAAAGGTAAATGAAAGAGCCACTAATAAATGAATTAAAATTATTATAAATTTAACTTATGTCAGGTTATTCTCTCCTTCTATTAACATTGTCTTTTTTATTATTCATTCTTTAATAAAATAACTAAACATGAAACATTAGTTTAAAATAATAGTGAGCTAACCAGTCGTGATTATTTACACTCCTAAACTATAGTAATATAATAAAAAAAAGATGATATGCATGCCAACTAAATTTCTAATAAATCATTATAAAAATATTTGATTATTTATTAAGATGATCGATCACACCATTTCATAAAATTTTTTATATTTTACTATAAGAATAACATGTCAATATCATTTTATATTTGTACAATTGCCACAAAAACACCACTAAAATAGTATCATTTATAACATATTAATATCAATATCATTTTCCATTTACGTGCATGAGTACCTTAGCATTCCACAGCTGGTATCATAAAGATGTAACTCTATCATAATCAAGCATACACATTCAATCAGTTTATGTAGTTCATATCATTCATAATTTCATATTCCTCAATATGTCATATTTAATACTATAATGCATAAGACTTTTCAGAATGAGAGACTGAAGCATTCATATTGAAATGACCTAAAAAATTTAAGAATAGAGGAATTAATTGCACTAATTAACCATGAATAACAGTCCATACAACTATTTCACAAGAGAAAAAAATAATACTATAATTTAAGAGGAGTCTCGATGTCCATTTAATTGTTATTGGATTTTACTTGACCTCAACCCTTCCAAAAATAAAGCCTAGAATAAACATGGGTATTAATATTACTAAAAATTATTTTATTTCTTATTTTATTTAACTATATCTATCTATATATATA